AGCCTTGCGGAATCCCATATTCAATTGGTAAAGAATCGGAAAGATAAGTAAATAATGTTCTTTTATGCCAGTACGGTATTTCTACTCTTAAAGTCGATGTTTAAGGTACAAAGTTATCCAATCTAGGGCGATGCCACGAATTCCATAATAAGATAATTTTGATAGCAAGATGTTATGGTCAATAACGTCAAAAGCTTTCGAAAGTTCTAAAAATATTCCAATGGATGCTTCATTTTTGTCCATTGATGAAGCAATATCTTGAAGAAAAGAAAAAATGTCAGTTTCCGTAGATTTTGATTTCCTAAACCGGTGTTGTGAGACTGAAAACGCTTCGTTTTTCCTGAGAAAAGTTTCCATTCGCGTATAGAAAAGCTTCTCTCTTTTAGAGAAACCTGACAAAAGAGACAAAAGAGTAATTTTGAATTTCATTTTTGTTCCCTTTTAAAAAAAGTAGCTTAATTTTTGCTTTTTTGAAAATATCTGGAAATATTCCTGTGTATAAAGACGTATTGAAAATGTGAGTTAACGGGTGTTTAAAGGCAGGTACACAATAAGCACTTACAATAAGCAATCCGGAAATTCATCTAAACCAGATGAATATTAATTTTTTAGTTTACTGACTATTCGTATGATTTCGTTACAAGAAGTTTTTGGGAAGATAACGATGTTGAATTTAATGGTTTTAGTCTCCTCGTGAGTTCAAACGCAATTCTAGAAACGTGTTTGTTGAAGAGATTTGCCTCTTCTTTCGGGACAACTGGCTTCTCTTTCATTATCCTTTAAAACAACATTCTCTACTGTAGCGGTACCGAATTATTTAAATAAATTAAATAAGAATAACGTAGATATAAGGGAGAATATTTTCTGAGAAAGACTACGCGTCACAGTGGGCATAGCCCCCTTCTTGGAACGAGCCGCGAGCCCTCACTGACCCACTTCAGCAGGTTATGGCCCCGACCGGCCGAAGAAAAGGTGAGTTTGTAGGTCCGCTCCGCTTGCGTCCCCGTCTAAAAAAATGGTAAATCGGAACGTTTCCGAAACGCTGTCACCGTGATCCAGGGAAGCACAAGAATAATAATTCAGTAGCCGGAAGCACCCTTCAGGACGTGGGCCTACTTTCGAGATCGACACAGAGAAAGGAACCTAACCATGGAGCGGACTGAAACAGAAAAATGGAAAATTTCGAATATACAATGCTGGAGCTTATTGGGCCAGAATTTGGTGTATAGACGCCAGGTCGCCCTGTGTGGCAAATAGGCGCTGCAGATCTCATGCGGGAACTCGAACATACGAGGAGAAAGGGTGGGGGATGGAAGTTAACTTTTTACTTGAGAGAGAGAAAAATCGACATTACATTACTACTACTCCGACTGCTAGGGCGGGAGCTACTCACGGGGAGAGGTAAACGCACCTCTAGGGGGGACTTAGAGAGAATAATTTTTTAGAGAGAGGTGGTGTGCACCTCCGAGGACGGGGATTGAATCGAAGTTTTGATTCGAGTGGAAATGCAAAAACAATTATAAGGGAATTGTCGAATCCTTTGTTATTGCGTATTCGTTGCAGGATTTCGCAATTACTGAAATTTTTATTCGACAGGAATTGCATACGCAGAGGGAGACATTGTTGTGTGCTCCGCACCTGCGATATCCCCGGCTATCTACAAGCTCCGCCGAAGCAGCTTCCAGACGTCCTTTCGCTGACATCACTGACCACCGCCAGGCGCCACCAGACGCCGCCAGACACCGCCAGACGCCGCCGGACGCCGCCAGCCGCCGTTGGTGAGGGCGCGCGCCCGAACAGGGAAGGCCGCCCCGGCTATCTACAAGCTTCGCCGCGCCCACCCGGGCCTACTGAGCACATCTGCCACGGAGGGTTCCCAGGCAACGTAAACAGGGGCAATAAGCTCTTTAGAAACTATTGTCAAAGCGGTGCCGCGCCAAGGTACGGAAAGGTCCTCAGGGACAACTCTGATTTTCTAACTATAAAATAATTTTGTATTCTTCTCTAGTTGTAAGCTCTCTTTTAATTTTAATCTTTATTTTTTTCTTTATTCAATCTTTTCTTTCTTTTTTAGTAATGTAACTTCCCTGGTACAGCTTTGTCCAGGAATAAACGTTGTCTTTTTAGTAGTAACCAAATTGTTTATTTTGAATGCCCATGAATTTAGTTAACTATTCCTTCCATCACCTAATTTTTAAATGAGTAAAGGGAATAGAACCGACTGAGCTAAGCCCGGGCCGCTAACCGCGCATTTTCCGACGATCCCACGTCGCCGGTAGATGAGTGGGGGTGTTACACTACTAAGTAACGAGATGACGGTCGCATTTTATACAATATTCCACATTGCTTTAGTTTTGTTACTAGCGTTCAAAATATCCTGATTATTCTTCGTTATTCGGGTTTCAGGAGTATTGAAATGCTAGCGTGTTTCCTGCTCTCAGGGAAGTACCTTAGTGTGATGCAGCTGTTGTAAAGATGCGTGAGTTCCGCGCTGATGATCGGCAGCGCCTCCTTGAGAATTGGGGAAACGATTTGGTCTGGGCCCGGTGCCTTGTGACTGCGCATGCTTGTAAAGGTTTTTGCAATTGCTTCGAAAGTGCAGTGTATGAGTACAGTGCTGCTTTCCTCTGAATTTTCCTCGCCGTCTGCTTGTGAGGTTTTGTTTGTAAACCTTTCTGCGAGCATGTCTGCAAAGAATTCCGCCTTTGCTTGGTCGGTGTAAAGGTATGTGGGTATTTATTCCGTGCTGTCGGTACCGCGAATGGTAATGTTTGTGTCGGGTACGGACGTCAGAGCCTTTTCAATTTTGAAAAGACCGTTTCGTGAATGATCGGTGCCGATATCTCTCATGCGCTTTTCCCACTCGGCTGTGTGGTGGTTTACAGCACAGCTTTTAGGCGGTTTTCACTTTCGCGCAATTTGGTTTTGAGCGCGGGGCATCCGAACTGTTGCCAGAGCCGTCTAGCCTTGCGTTTTTCGCGCAGGCGTCGCTACGACGTCGGGTGGGAGTGTGTTTGATCCTTCTTCAGGTAGTCACCAAAATACCGGCGTCGCCTTCCGGTGGGTCAAATGTAGTTGTTTTGTGTGTGCTTACATCCGTGCGTCTATAGATTCTTTTGAGTCTATGATTGTCGGAGAGTTGATGTGCGATGGGGCGAGGAGTGAGCGGAATTCGTTCCAATCTGTGGTTGTGGGACTCACTGCCTGGTACAGGTGAAGAAGCGTATGTTGCCTACAGCAAAGGTTATGGGAATATGATCTGATAAGGAAAACGAGAATGGTTTTGGCGTTGTTACACGGATGTTTCCGGCCGTGAGCGCCGCGTCGAGAATCTCGAGTATCTCCCTGGGTTTGTGTGGGAAGCGTGTGGGAGTGAAGGGTGGAACGAGGTTCACTGTGTTGTGAGATAGCAGGAAGCTTACAAGTAAGTTTCTGTTTGTGGTGTTGCATTCTCATTCCTCGCACTTGGCGATCAGGTCGGCTGCCAGGACTGTGCGGGGTGCTAGGGAGAGCACTGCGTCGAAATCTTCCTCTGTTAGAGATCTCTGTGGGGGAGGTATGCGGATACTAGAGCTATTTCGCCCTCCGTTGAGTTCGTCACGATTGCTATAGCTCCAAGGCGGGCGAGGCGAGAGAGGGCTGCTAACCTGTGGGGTATCGAACGACGTACGGCAACCGCAACGCCGCCCCCGTGGTGACGACCGTCGCGATCGATACGGTATATTTCCATGTCGCGCAGCTCAATTTGATCTGAGCTTTTGAGCTCTGTTTCTTGCAGTAGAAGATCATCTATGCGATATTTGTTGCAGAATAGCTCAATTAGTTGTCTTTTGCTAGAGGCAATTTGACCAGAGTGACCGTTGATGATCCATGCGGCCACAGCTAGTGTGCGAGTGTTTGTGTTTCTCTGCGTGTGTTGTTCAGCCATTATTGGTGAACACTTGTTGGCAGAGGGTTTGGAGAAGTGTGGTGAGTTGAGCAACTTGTTGCTTTTAGTTCAGCGACCTCCTTTCGAGGAAGTAACAGGCGCTATTGCTGTTGTATCAGTGGCTGAGTACCATGGGCAGGGTTAGCACTTTCCTTAATTCCCTTTCGGGAATGGCTGCCTCCCTTTCCGCGCGCCTTGCCCGTGAAGTTGTTCAGGGCTAGCGTGTCGCATTAATGTAGGAGGGGGTGAATGGGACGATAGGCCGCATCGGCGACCAATTGGAGAAGGGCAGGTGGCCCGCGATTGACGGAGGGGGATAGAAGCGATCTTGGGAGACCAAATAATAGCTCGATCGACAGAGACGCGGTTCATCCAGGACCTCAAGAACCAAATACGCAATGGTTGTTTCCAGTTGCTGAAAATACGACGAAAAAAACCACATATATTTCTTGCTGGTTCCATTCTTTTTGTTTCCCCATTTGTGTTATGAAGCCCAATTACCTCATCTCTTTTAATTTCATAAAATGATGTGTCGATTTAATACCATTTTATTAAAGCATAAAATGTACAATTTGTCCTTTTTATTCATGTGTGCAGTCTTCAGGACCCCCAAAGAAAAAAACACATTATTTCATTTATGCCACATCAAAGATGTATAGAATTCATCATTCAGTTTAAGATATATCGTTGAAGGTAATACAAAACCAGAACCTAGAGATATTTACATTCGCGGACCTGTATTGTGTAGTAAAAAAATTATTGAAACTTTGGTAGTTCTCTTTTTTGTTTTCAAAATTCCCTCCCAATGTATCTGTTGAAATTCTATTGGCTCACAACCAAGAACATGGTCAATGGTCTGATCGGCGCAAAAATAGATTTAGGAACAAGTGAACATTCTGGTTATACCAAAGATTAACATTATTCATCCATGGTGTAGATACTGTGCCCAGTGTGGATGTTCTGTGGAAATATTTGGAATTCAATTTTTGCATTTTTGGTGACTAGGCCATTCATACACTTTTCTCTTTCCAATTTTTCTAGTATACTTAGGTGGTTATTTCTTGGGACGTGAGGCCATGTCACGAATTATTTCACGGGATTTTGCGTCTTTCTCGGTCGTGCCGCAAGATGTCGCATAATCGCCAGCATTACTCGATACTGTCTCGATCATGCGAAATCTAGCGGCTCGACTGAGAAAGATGCTAAATACTGTGAGATGCGTGAGATTTCCTATCGTGAACGATCGTGAAGATTCCTCGTGCGTCAAGTAATAAAGTCTTTAAATTCTCAAGAATTAAAGTTTAATAAAGGCCCAACCAAGTAGCTTGAAGGGTGATTGGATTGAGTCATGTCTCTGCCTGTTGTACGCGGAGATGTAAAAAACGCCCGGGTGTTTTTTACAAACGAAGAATGGGATAAAATTGCCTTGTATTTGGTTGGGAATAATACCCGATATCGCGAAAATATTATAATCCCAAGAATGATGGGTCCTGTTAAAATAAAGTCGAACGAAGAAAAAATGATAGAAACTTTTTTTGAAAGCTGCACATTTAAGACTGGCATGAGTTGCGTTGCAGGTTAGTGAATACCGTGAAATTGGATAATCTTACTGTTTTTTTACAGATGTAATAATATAATGCATTTTATTAGGTTATCTTCTTGGTGGCGTTTTGGGATTGTTTTCATCCAGTGTGAATCCCACCGTACCTTTACCAGATGCTAAACCCCAGACAGCCAGAGAAGTTTTCATGGAAATGAAAGGAACAACATTAAGTTACGCAAAAAATTTTGCGTTGATCGGTGCTCTGTTTTCTTCCATCGAGTGCACTATTGAATCGGTAAGTTGTTTTTAATGTGTAGGATACATGTTTACCTTAGTTTACTTTGGCTAGTGAAAATACTTGTGTTTTTAGTTTCTGTTTTGAGAGAACTTATCTCTGAAGCTGATTTTAGTGTTATGCACACATATTTTCTTAGCCTCGGAATACCTACCCCCATTCTTTTACCAATGTTAGTTGAATTAAGAATAAATGATAGCAAGGAGTGTTGTAAAGAAAATCTAATAACCAGAAACATTGGCTCTCATGTAACTATTTTGCACCAAAAAACAATAAAATTCGTGAAAATAACCAATCTCCTCTCTCCTCTTGCATCTACCGAAGTGAGGGCTCAAGAAATCATATGCGGATAATGTCTGTTGGTTTTTTTTTTTCCAAAACATTAGCCATAAAAGTTTATAAATGTATTAAGCTTTTTGTTCTTCTATAGAAGCAAAGGATGACAGTTTTACAGAAAAGATGGCAAGCTGTTCATTAGATTTAGCAAAATTTTTAAATTTTCAGAAAAATTTAAGGAATCTCTTAGATTTTTAATGGAGCATCATATGTGTTCGCAGTATCGAGGAAAATCAGATTGGCGTAATGGTACCTATGCTGGTGGTATTAGTGGTGGTTTAATAGGGTTAAGAGGTAAGTTACATCATTTAATTTAATTTGAAACCACATTTTGTTCTAAATTCCAGATGATTTCTTTATTTCAGTATATTTGTCAAGGGTTGCAATATAAAAGAGTATTTTATTTAAGTTCATTAATCCAATGGAATGTCTGTGAAATGCTTGATATCTCCTCTGATGATGTAATAACATCATTTACAGTAGTTCAGAGATTTTCAATATTTTTGTTTTTTCCTGAGAACATATTACTACTAACTACAGTGCGATTCAAAGTGCTAGGTAGAAGTTCAGATGAGATTATATTGTATTTTTAAATTAGTTATATGAATGTTGCATTAAAAACAATATTTGTTTGCCAGAAGGCTCTTTGATTTATGGTTTTTACTGTGTTTTGGTTATACTTTTTATTCGTGCAAGGAAGAAATTTGAGGAGTTTGTGTTGTCAAGGCAAATGCAAATCTCAAGGGGAAATTGTGAGGAAGTAAGTTGCAATTTCCAACTTCCACCCAAGTGTTCAGAATTAATTATGTGACCAACAGACCTCCACTTCATTCATTCAGTTTTAGATTGTGTGCCATACATTTGGAATCTGTACTTGGAAAGCACTTGAGAGAACAGGCAGAGAAGGATATCTCTTCCAGATTCCCTTGTAATCTTCACGATCTTATGAATAAAGGAAGACTTTACCTTATAGAGCTGGAAGAAGGGGAAAAAATCTCAAAATCCATTTCTTTTTGTTTAAGTAACAGTTCAATAGTGGAGAAAAAAAATTAAATTAAATAAATTTTTTAACGTTAAATTGTAAAATGATAATCTAAAACAATTGTTAACCACATCCTACAATCCTTGACGTATCATTTCCTTTAATATTTCAAGTAACAGTACAATTATTTCCTCAAATTTTTCCCCTTTTAAACTATATAGCTATATTATAATTTTCAGTAAAATAAGTTTGACAGAGACATGATAATAAAATGAGTTATCGCTTTTGAATTACATGGCGTTACCCAGGTAATGCAAAATCAATACTAGTTTTGTTACGACATTACATCAAACTTGTATCATGCAAACTTTACAACTATATAGCCCCTTTTAATATTTTAAACATTTTTTAAAAATATTTATTTGTATCATTAATATCCAGAAATATTTAAAGAAGGATAGTAATATTACTCATTTGTTTGAAACGGTTCTTTTCACGTTTGTCTTAAAAATAAGTGTCTTGAAGAAGAATGAAGACATGTCACCAGCACTGTAATACAGTTTTATCCACAACATCCACATGTGTTTTACGTGGTAAATAAGATGTATGTTCCAAACAAAATATACCTATTTCTTCAGAGCACATATAAGTACCACACAGTGTGTTAGAGACCAAAAACTGCACGTTTACATTTTTTGAGAAAGTGAAAACATACAAATGATTTTGAGTAAACCTTTATTATATATATTTTGTAAATGTGTTTTACCATTGTAATGCAAGATATGTTGTAACTAATCCATGATATTTGTTTAAAGCCAAGTGTATACTGAGAAAAAAGGGAACCTGTTTTCTCCACTAAATATTTTCTCTTATATTCAATGTTTTTAAAGTAATTTAACTTTTCTGTTATTAGGAAAGCAAATCCTGTGTTTTACAGTATCGTTATCAAAAAAGGTTTTTTTTTTTGCCAACAACATTTTCATTACAAATGTTAAATAAACACTCAAGCATGCCAGGCGGATAATGTGGGTACAGTGGGTAGCTATACTCTCACAAACAATTTTGAGTGGGTAAAATACCCATTTGGGGTGAGAGAAATATTACACGAGCGTCAAATTCCAGAAAAGACCGAAGTTTGTCGGTACTGCGTCTACTATGTTGCATCATTGGCTCAACAGTATTGCGATTTTACATCTTTATATCACATAATGAGCAAAATTGTTTTGCCAAAATTGTTAAAGGAGTTTATATAAAAAAATACAAAGCATAGTGCGGCTTTTGAATTGCAAAAATGAACCGCTGAAGTTAAATGAAATAAATAGAATAACAATTAATGACAAATATGACAATTTGACAAAGAATGTGTATTTTTCCCCTTATATAACTTTTTGGTGGGTGATGGAGGTGGGGAGGGTGACCCTCACCTGGGTCAACGAAACACTCGGATTTAACACCAATTGTTGGTTCTGCTGTGTATGTAATTTAAAGTGGTAAAAATAGTTTTTATTTTTTTACCTACAGCTCAGCAATCCAGAAAATCTGAGAAAATTCACGTTTTGTGTTTTAAGAAAAACTTTTGAGATTTTTTTCAAGCCTCTATCTGGGTTCTAAGACAGCAAAAATTGCTTTGTTATTTTTATTATAATAATTATTATTATTTAAAAAAAATAATGCTTGAATTTGGCACTGAGAAAATATTTAAAAAAATTTTTTGGTAGTGTAAATTATTGTGATATTTTCCATATTTTTTCAATCAGATAAAATAATGTTAAGTTGACAAAAAAAAATAAATAAAAAAAGTGGTGTCGTTGTTGGGATGTGAGCTAAGAAATATTTCAAAAATATTATGTTTGTTATAATTATAGTGTAACTACCTATATGCCATTTGGTATCTTATGCCAGAGGAACCCTTTGCCTTCCCCCAATAAATCATCCAAAATCTCCAAATCCAAAAAGATTGTTCACTAAAAATAAATTAAAATATATAGACTATTTACTCCTGGAATCATGGGATGTAGCCCAATCAAAGTAGACCAATCAAGTGAAAAAAATTCCTGATTTTTGAAAAAATGGCATATTTGTTGTTACCTACTGGGTATTAAACTAAAAATCCTGAAGTGTTTGTATGGCTTAAAGGTGATTTTTCTTTGTGTTTTGCTTATAATTCTATAATTATCAATCCTATCAAAAATATGTTCTTCACAAACTTAAAAGTACGCAAACTTTTCTACAGAAACTTTCATATGAGGTTTCATTGTAAAATTACCTCTTGTAAAGTAACAGACATGAAAAGTTTTTATTTAGGACAAAATACTTTCATAAATATCTCCCTTATAAGAATTATGTTATATGTTGAGCACACAGAAGTTATTTTATTTTTGTTCAACATGTATCAACAATATGTATTTGCATAGTTTCTGCCAAGCACATGAATATAGTACCTCTTTATTAAATCTTATTTTGCACATACTTGTGGGTATTCGAGGTTCTTGGGTCCAAGATAACCTCGTGAACAGAGGCATATCTATAGTCTGGTAGACATGGCAACTGCGATGGGTGCTCCTCACAAGGGGTGCTATTTATCAATGACAACCTCTTCAATCCTCATTAATTTTCAAACAAAAATCTGATACAGATAACCGTGAGCATCTACAACTTTTTAATTAAATAACAGGCGGGTCTCAAAATTCTTATGATGCATACTTTCCCAATAACTTTTTGTACTGGTAAGTTTTAATGTTAAAAACTTCTATTAGATATGATGAATTGTACACCACCTTGTAATATGATGTTTATAATTATATGAATCAAGAAGTATATCAATTTGCTCTAGGTAAGTTTCAAAGATTTTGAGCAAATAATTACCTAGTAAACTGTAACTTATTCTAATAAACATGAATAAAAATAACATCAATCCATTGTACTAATTGAGCAAATGAAAATATAACGACATTATAATAAATAGCTGCCTTTAAAATTAATGGGATATTTTATTAATAATAATAATAATCATAATAATAATAATAATCATAATAATAATAATAATAATAATAAATGAAATTTATCTGCTTGCTAATCAGGGGCCAATGTGTTTCACTTTCACCTTAAACGAAGCGTGGGAAATTCATTGGATTGAATTATTAAATTCGGGGTGCGTCAAATACCAGGATCATTACCATTATCATTTATCGTCCTTTGCCCCATATGAAAGAAATTAAAGAAAAAATGTAGAACCGTTTCTAAGAAAATTTAAAAAATTGCCCATGTTTGAACCAACATTACGCAAAAAATTATCTTAACTAGCGGTGCTACAACAACAGCACATACTTTCTCGCTTCATTACAATGGAATTAGTATAGGAATAAAAATGGATGTTGGTATATACCAGAGCAGTGAACTTCGACATCGTGTAATTTCCATGATAGTTGGCAATCTTAATGTCTTTTTCACACAGAAGGTTTATAAGCTGTTAGATTTGTTATAAATCCACTAGATGACGTTGCATCACAAGAATGCGATTTATTTTAATTCAGTGTCCATTCAAATTGAACTCCACCTGCGCTTCATAATTACTGAACGTTTCCGTGTGGCACAGGGCGAGGCCGAGAAGGTCAGGGCCACGGCGCGCATAAGAATCAGGCATGGGACAGGAAGACGAGAGAGAGGGAAAGAGGCAGGGACAAAGTCAAAGTGAGGGAAGAAAAGTGAAAGATGGAGGGCAGGACAACGTTTTTGGGATTCCACTAGTAGTTATATACGACGGGACGCCCATTATTAATTTCAAATAGAAATTATTCGAAAACTGACTTTTACAAATAATTGCACATGACCTTTTCTTAAAGAGCTAAATTTGTAGACTTTGTTTGCTACAAAAATCTCTATCCTAAATTTTTTAGTTTCGAATATTTTTTTGGCAATTTACAAATAATTGAGCAATACCCGAAAATGGGAGTAAAGCCATCTTTTTAACCGACCCTTATTACATACGTGGAAAAAATTTGGAGAGGGTTTTGAGAGAAGAAATGTTCGTAATCCGTTCAGCTGATTTTCTCCAAAATTGATATTCCCCAATCGATCTGATTGATGTCGCGTGCTCTGCAATATGAAATCGATATTTTTATTTTGTGGGGTACTTTACTTGAAGGGCCCCAGCACATTTTCAAAAAATAGCTCCAATTTGTTTTAATAACTGTTGAATACTCTCTATGAAAAATATCAATGTTCAATATTTTAGTTGTAGGCCGAAAATATTTTTTTTTCTATTTTCAAAAAATTAGGGACTTATACGAAAATCAAGTTTTGGTGTCAAGGAACCACAAAACATGGATTCAGACTAGAGGAAGTAGTTTGCTACAAACAGGGACAAGATATATTAACTTTTTCGATACCTAGGCCCCATCGGTAAGCTTTTGTTGTGGAAAATTTGCTGTTTTTTCGCATTACAATACTTCCTCTACACTGCGGATGCAGTAACGGAGTAAAAATCCTTCAAAGGAAAAGTTTTCGTGAAAGAAAAGAAATCGTGAGATTACTTGAGTCTCAATTAACCAAGGTTAGAAAAAGGAACAGAATAATTCATTTCAAAAATGTCGATGTAATTAGCGATTTTAGGCATATTGGGTCTTTACTCAATTCCGTAATCATTGGATCGCCTCGTTAATCATTGAATGTCTTCATTGACGCTGTTTTAGTTGATGTTAGCGGTGAATGTGATCATTCCATTTACGATATTTATGCACGTATGTTTTTTATGTAATTTATATTTTAACTACACCACATTTTTACCATTTTTTTTTATTCGGTACTTATGAAATGAACAGTGCATTAAGTGTTCGTACACGAGGTAATCTTGGATTCAAGAAACTTGGATACTCGCAAGTACGTACAAAATCAGATTTGATAAGAGGTAAAATGTTCAGGTTTTGCGGAAAACTATGCAAATGCATATTGTTGATGAATGTTGAACAAAATTTCTTCATTGCACTAAACGTATATTACAAGCGTTAAAAAAAACGAGGTGGAGTCTGAAATGTGCAAACTGATGTCAGAATGTTAATATCGTTGCATTGTAACAAACAAAAAGTGGTTCCGACAAGAGCTCTGAAGTTCACAGCCCGCCACTAGACGGATCACGGGTGCAAGTCACGTGACAAAAACGTACCTGAAGCTTGCGTCAATCGTCCAACGCGGTCATCCGCGTTGTACTCACAAGCAGTGGAGGCGTCATAAGAGGAGTATAGATGTGTTGTTCGTTTTCTGACAGCGGAAGGGGTAGGAGGAACGGAATTCATCGAAGAATAAATTTACGGCGAACACTGCATGTCCGTTAGTAGGGTCAAGGCTTGGCTTAGGCGCTTCAGGGAAGCTGTGGGTGGCTCATGCTTAGGCTGCACAACACCTGGATAATCGAAAAAGATCTCATAATATCTTAGGAATATACTTTTTCATTTTAATAACATTCAATTTCAAGATATTGCAGTAATATCGATGTATATGAAATCATTTTGAAACCAAAGAGCGTCCAACTGGCACCCTCTCTGGTGCCTTGCCACGAATTACACCACGTTCTTGGCTGTATTATTAGGTTAACTGCGTTTACTCTTTGACCCTTCGATTTAATCCGTAGAACATGCTATCTTTTGGTGGCGCAACCAGTGGCTGTCTAGCGCTGCACGGCGACGGAAGGAGTCATTTTATAGATTAGAGAGTAAATTTATAAATTTCGCTTGTATTTTAAAATATACAAGTTCTGTCAATTATTGACAATATTCATTGCATTGTTTGTATGTGGAGAAATCTTTTTCATTTGATATTAAGTTTTATTGATTCAAAACGTACATTTTATGAGTTCTTTATGTAAAGGTAGATGTTCTGGATGGTAGTTCCTTAATGCCTCACTGAAGCCAGTGTGCCGGCAGCTGGCTGGTCAGCAGTTTACGAGGGTCCTTGTGAATACCATTGTGTGTCGAATATCTTTCATTATTGCCGTATTTAACAGGGTAGTGACGTTTATTCAAATAAAATAATTTTATTTGTTTGAAACGTATCGAAGCAATAGTGGGTGTTGCAACGTGTAGGAGTCGAACTTACGTGCCCAGTGGAAATCAAAGTCAGAACCACGTGCGCGGACACGACGTATTAAATTATGTAAGTAATGTCTCAATTTAGACTTCCATTTAACTTGTAATTAATTTGAATTGCTTACATTTTTATTATATATTCGTATATTGAATTTCGGAAATATATTTCCGTCATTCGACGGAGGTGGAACCTCCAGTCTCCTGGGGCACCAGCCACCACTGCAGGGAAGGACGGGTGTCGTTAGGCGATCATGCACAGTCTGAAACACCACACTGCATTTTTTGCATTACCGATGACATCGTCCTTGTTGATGGATAGGTTACTCAGGTCCGCCGAGTTACAGTGAAAGCCGTTACCGCCGAGGTCGGATTGGGAATCGGAAGTGTTCACACTATTATGACGGAAAGACTTATCTGGCGCAAAGTGTGCATCGAATATGTGTCCCACATACCAACCACAATAGGACACATGTCGAATTGCCCACCATATTGATCATCAGCAATGGTATGACAGGAAAGGGAATGAGTTCCAGGCATTAGAGGTGGCTGAAAATGAGTCATGGTGTTATCACTTCAAGCTGGAATCGAAACGACAGTCTCAGGTGGAAGCATGAGGGTCACCACCACCACCAAAAATATCCAAGGCCATCCACACAAGGAAATGTTATGCTAACGTTCTTCTTTGGCCAAGACGGCCCCTCCTGATAGACTTCCTGCAGCATGGGACTGTAGTGAATACCCAGTTTTATTCGGCAATTCACCACCCTTTGCCAAGCGATCAAATCGAAACGACCAGTCAAGTTCACCCTTGGGGCCATTCTTCTCCACGACAATATAAGGCCTCATACGGCTAACACAATCACGACACACTTCCAGAAATTGAAGAAGGAGTTTTTCGGTCTCTGTTCGTATACTTCAGACCTCTCTCCCTCTTATCTTTTTGATCCCCTAAAAAAGGCTCTGAGGTGCAAAATATGTACCTATGACGACGTCAGGCAGTAAAACAGTGGAACTGGTTCATAGCGCGGAATTTTATGAAACAGCTATTTACCGCCTTGTGTCGCAGTTTGGACTTATATCTCAACTGGTAGGGCCAATACTTGTAACATACAGGTTTGTTCCTAGGCCTCCTGATCGTTTCTTTCTGAATGTTCCTTATATTTTTATAAGGGAGATGTCTATGAAAGGGTCTTGCCGTAAATAAAAACGAAACTTTTCGATTCTGTCTTCAACAGAATTAATTTTACAACAAAACCTTATATAGACTTTTTGTAGTTCTGAGTTTTTGAAAAACGTTATTGGAAGTCCATTTGAAACACTTCTACTCACATTTTGCAGTAATGTAGATAAATCTCGGAAATATGCCAAGGCGTGAAAGGTATTTAAAAAATTACATTTTTGTAATTTTTGAAAAACAAAAGAATACAGCAAAATGATTTTATGGCATTGTAAACACTACAATTAGAACTATCCGTTCGAAAAGTTTGAAGAAAAAATTTGGAGCCGTTTTTGGAAAAATGGCGTTTGAGCGTTTCTGAAAATGCGGAATTGAGACCTCATTTTCACAGAAACTTTTCAGTTTTTTAGTAACTTTATTCGACAGTCATTTAAACATCATGAACTCATTAATTCAATAATACGAACAAATTGCCACTGATGTAAATATTCACGATGTGGGTTACAGCTTGACACGAGACGCTAGAATTTTGAAAAATATTCTTTAAAATTCGACTTTTGGAGAAACCCCAGGGACCCAAAATGGGGTCCAAATTTTTTCTTCCTCTTTTTCTCCTAAGTTTTTTTAAAAGAATAGAGTAAAATAGATTTATGAAGTTGGCATAGGTCCGTATTTCACTCTTATTTATATTTAACTCTTTATTTTCGAGTATTTCAAAAGTTGTTTTTTCCGGTGTCTTTCTACAACTATAAAATTGAAGATAGAGATTTTTCTTTCAAATACATTTTGTTCTCCATATTATTTCATTAAGGTCATGTACATGTTTTAATAAGTTTTATTAGTTTTGGCCAAATATTTCGTGCAAATTTAAAAAAATAACGTAAACAAGATTTTTCAAAAACGAAATTTTTCTTTAAACTGTTGCTAGTGCTACTGCCAAATGTATCCATAAGGTAATATAAATGATACACGCATATCTATATTCCGTTGTTTCTTTTTTCAAAAATTACAAAAATGTATTTTTTACTTGTCTCTCACGTCGTTAATATTTACATTATGAGCATTATGATGTGCTTGTCATATAAAATTTCTCGAAAACAAGATTTCTGTGATAACATGTTCAAAATTTCGCATTTTTAGAAACGATCAAACGCCTATCTCAAAAACGGTTCCAAATTTTTTCTTCAAACTTTTTGTACGAATAGTGCAAAATATGCCATTGAAAATGGCATGAAAGCCATTTTGCTGTTTTCTTTGATTTTTCAAAAGTTACACAAGTAATTTGTTAAAAAAATCTCTGACGCCTCAAATAAGCATATTTCCATCGATTGGTATACATTGCATTTGTGAGTGGAAGTGCTTCAAATAACTTCCTATAAAGTTTTTCGAAGAGATTCGTATGAAAAAGATTTTGTAATATCGTATTTCTAGAAACGCTCGAACGACTTTTTCTCTACAACAGCTCCAGATTTTTCTACTAAAATCGTCATATAGAACGAGGTTTTACTTTTCTATATAATTTTAAAAGGCCCCCTTTTTTAGTTCTATGATTATGTGATCGAACAATTGAGAAACGTTTTTTAAACTGTACTTTGGGCGGCAATTGATGGCAGCAAGGAAGAGGGACAAAACCGACAACTTAGCCCCTCAAAACATCGATTTTGGCTACACCACGTGTTAGAGGCCTTGTTTCTATATTTTGCAACTTTTCATTTTTCCACTTTTTTGTTAACAGAGCCCAGGAATTAGTTGTCTCGGAAATTCGCCCGTGTTTCCCGCAGCATTTCATAACTTTCTCTATACTGCACAAGCAGTACCGAGAATATAAAAAGGTTAAAATATTGTTATTAATGTACATTTCATTGCTTTTTTAGCTGGTTGGAAAGCTGCAGCCTTCGGTGCAGCTGGATTTGCAGCGTTTTCTACTGTTATTGACTATTACATGCACCATTTATTTTAAAATACATCGTTGTAAATATGTATATAATGTTATATTACTGAGAAAATTAAAAAAAATATTACTTTAATGTGTGTATTTTTCTTATAAACCTAGTCTGTTCCTTCAGGTTGCAATGATATACAACAATCGTAACTCCTCGAGAGCCGAATTGGTCAAGACCATGCGAGGGTATCAGAAAGACATTACTCCGAACTCAGCCGAAGAGCTGAGGCGCACAAGTGCGGGGAACGAATGTTCGGAGGAGGCACCTGTGCCGTCGCAAATGGCTCGGAGTGGAGCGCTTTGCGCTCTCAATATACATATAAATAGAGAGAGAGAGAATATAATCTGTACAAGCCGGAAACCTGCTGTAACCGGAAAATTTCTCCACCCGTGCTGTCAAATGGCATTTTACGCAGCATAAAACGGAATCTACCCAACGGGAACATGGAACGGTTTTTCATGACCTACAGGGGAAAATACCTTCATAAAACGGAATTTCTACATATTTAATCCAGAATGCAGAGAGATGCGAGATACTCTTCACGGAACGAATGCATCTACAAGTCTTTTTAATTTTTCTGTCGAAATGATTTGAATTTGTATTGGCAGCCGCACAGTGAAGGCGAGGAGTTTGTTGTCAGCATATAATTCGACCTTGGGGTCGCTTGATTCTCAAGCCGTAGGCCCTCGGAGGCCCTCTCTCCCAACTCTATGAGCATGGGAAGGTGCACGGACTTGGCTTGTATTCACGCTTCTCCTGACTCCGCGTAAACAATCGTAACTCCTCGACGAGAGCCGAATTGAAGGACATGCGAGGGTATCAGAAAATCAGTAATCTGGGTTGTCAGGCACTGCGTTAAAGAGTGAGCGAGCTGTGCGGGTGCAGCCCTATGCAGTGAGGTGGTTTGTTTCACTATCAGTTTAACAATTGTTGGAAAAAACTATATAATATTTTTAAAATTATAACTTCAGAAAACAATTGAAAAGTTGTGGTAAATCCAAAAAAAGCAAAAAATTAAATAAAAGTTGGAAAAAGTATTATTTTAGTGCACAAGTTGTGAAGGGTTTCCTTTTAATCGTCAGAAGTGTTTAGTATTCATTTATTGGTTACTTAATAAATATTTCTCAATAAATATGTCATATGTTAATATATTTTTATAATTATAATAGTCTTGTTTTTTACAAGTTTCAGGAATATATATATATATATATATATATATATATATATATATATATATATATACACACACATATATATATATATTTCTTCCAAGGATAAAACCATTTACAATAGACACTGACCAAATCCAACACATAAACAAAGGGCAAATAACACTTAAATATATCACATTTTGCAACGCCTTCAAAAATTCCAAAGACCTCTATAATATTCAACTATGTAATTCTTTCTAATTAATTGCCTTCTAGATATATCCGTGCAGTTACTCGCTTGGCCAGCAACGTTTGAAGAATGTTAATTTACTTTAAACTATTACCTCAGCTCTAAATGAAATCCTTTTTACCAAATTTCCTTAGTTCAAAAAATCATCATCATCATCAGCAACAAGGTTTGGGCCTAGTGGCCCGTTCCGCTCTCAAGAATCTCTTTCCATCTTGTGTGGGGTCTGCCTCTGGATCGTTTCCCCTTTGGTTTGTATCGAGATAGTCTTGGAAGCTGTTTTGTGGCATTCTGGTTAGAGTGTTCGAACCAATTCTTCCTCGTTGAGTCGATCTTCTCAGTATGGCTGGAGATCTGTAGTTCACCTTGATGTCTTCATTCTCTTATGATCTAGTAGTGTAAATCCTGCCTAATGTCTCAGGAATCTCATTTCTCCGCCTTCCGATCTTTCTTCTGTCTGACCTATTGATTGTCCAGTTTTCGCATCATAAGTAGCATTGGACTGCCATAGTTTTTGTAAAGTTTAGTTGGGTGTCTTGTCTGGTCTTTTGTCTTAGTGCTCTGCGTATAGTACCCACGCACATTTCTGGAAATTGGATTTATGTTTATATCTTTTTTTGTCGCAGTATGAGATGTTAAATCCTAAATAATTAAAGTTGTTTACTTGTTCAATACTTTTTTCGTTTATCACTACTTTACATCTGATATGTTTTTCCCCTGGAATGCCATTGTTTTTTTTTAGAGGTTGATATCTTGAGTTATAATTTTTCCCTGTTAACTCGAGTAATGGGCAGCTCTCTGTAGGTCGTCTTCTGAAGTACTAAAAATGGCCTGGTCATCTGCAAATAGAGTAGTGTTTTAAAATTGTATTGCTATTTTAAAATGTGTTGTTAGTTTACTTTACCATTCTTGAATAATATGATCGAATATATATATATATATATATATATATAATATTATATATATATATATATTATATATTAAAAGGGTCGGAGACATCGGGCACCCTTGTTTGACTCCTTGGTTTGTATATTCAGTTAGGTTTGTTCCTGTTCCTTTGTCAATACTGATAGGTGGTTTTAATATAAGCTTTTGATGGTTTTCTATGATGTGTAGGGTATCCACTATTACGCATAATACCCATAACTTATTCCGAGAGACTTTGTCAAAGGCCTTTTCAATCTATGAACAGGATATAGGCAAGAAGGTTATATTCGCGTCTTTTCTCGATCAATTGTTGTACAATAAGTATGCTATCTGCGCATGAACGTCCCTTTCGAATCCATTTTGGAATTCCGAAAGTAGGTTATTACTTATTTTATTAATCTCTAGTAATTATCTTTGCATAGATTTTGTAGGCAGAGTTTAATAGGCTAATTCCTCTGTAATTGCTACAGTCTGTCTATTCCTTTCTTAAATATTGGGTGTATAATGTTTCTCCATTTCTTCTGGGATTTGATATGTTTTCCAACATATATTTAGTATAGAGAAGAAACCTTAAGCTTGAAATTTGTGAAGGTGCATACTTGAATAATTCTATATTCAGTCCATCGCTACCTGAGATTTTTTGTTCTTTAAATTTATAAGTATCTCTCGAGTTCGTTCATTTCTAATGGGTCTACGTTTGCAATCTTGTTCTGCGAGTTTTTCTTCTTGCTGTTTGAAGTCCACAATTCCTTATAGTACTCAGCCATTGCTTTCGGGTATATTATTTTATTGTACAGTGTCCTTTTTCGTCTTTTATTAGGTTTTTAGAATTTTTGTACGCTTTATTTGGGCTCCATGTATATCATATGTCGATTTCACTTATTGTATCTATCCAACTTTCTCTATTTAATTTTCGAACTTCTCGTTTAACTAATGCACATTTATGCTTATACGTTATCTATCTTGTACGGATTGTGTTTGCAAGTACTTAGATAAGCCCTTTTCTTATCTTAATGATGGTTTTTATCTCATCATTCCATATTCGTACTCCTTTTCTTTTTAGATCTTCTACTCTTTTTTCCCAAAACTTCTGTTGCTACTTTTATCATCAATTGCTTTAAGTCTTCCCATTCTTCATTTACATTTAAACTTACTGCTCTTTGATCTAAGTAGTTGTGCAGTCTTGGCAGTATATTTCCTTATACTGTCTTGTTTGTAGCAAGTGTGTTTGAAAGTATATTTTGTCAGTTTTGTTTTTGTCCGTTCTCTTTCTTATCCATCTTGCTGGGATATTTATTTTAGTGCCTACTATATGTGGTCTGTGAATACATCAAACCTCTAGAGTGCTCGTGTATCAGAACTAGGGAGTCAGCTTAGAGTAACTAATACGTAATCAATTATGGATTTGTTCCTTCGCCGCCATGTGTATTTGTGGATTTCTGTGTGTTTTGAGAAGCTTGTTTGTAATTTTAGTTCGTTAAATGTTGCAAAATTAATTAAGGTCTTTCCGTTTTCATTTTTTGTGTCTTCTCCATTGGTTCCCACTATTGTTTCAATTGGTTGGTTTCCAATCCTTGCGTGAAATCTCCGCATAAACTATTAAATCGTTCTTATTTATGGAATTCATGTGTTTTGTGAAAGTATCATAGAATAATGTGCTTTTCTTCTTCCTTCCCTCTTCTGGTGCGTTATATTCCCAATTGTCATGTATCCTCTTTGGAATTTTATTCTAATATTAATTATCTCTCTGAATATAGTTATAATTATTAATTTGTTTTTCCATTCCTTTTTTATCAGTATTGCTACTCCTGCGGCTGGTCTAATGTTTTTGTGGAACTCCACTGTAAAAACATTAGGTAGTTTCCCAGTTCCTTAGAGCCTTTCATCTTTTCTTGGTTTCTGTTACAACGCATAGGTCTGCTCCAAATCTTCCAAGTTCGGTTTTAGTTGGGTTTCTTTGTTTGTCAAACCTCTAACATTCCAGGTTGCGATTTTCATTTTTTCCGGTCTTAGATCGTTTATCCTTTTTACGTAGCATTGTTATCTTCATTTACAGTCCGGCTATTCTCTTGAGAGTGTCAGAAGGTAAGTTTCCCCTGGTTGCGTATACGGGCGCCACGCAGGGATATTTGGTGGTGGGGCTGCCACCTTACTGCCTCAAACTTGCAGGCAATATTTTTCGGATTGCTTCTCCTAGAACGCATTGCCTTCTCTACGGCTTTCTGAGCTGCGTCCGCCCAGTAGGGTTTTTCTTGATGTTGAGTCCCCCTTTCTGAGTACTTCTTCGTCTGACCCCTCCTTCGACCTGTCCGGCAAGGGTGGCCCCTGCAGTAAGCTTCGACGCCGGCCTAGCTCTCAGGATCATTGGGGTACGCAAGCTCCACCACCAACGACAAGGTCATGTACTCCCTAGGTGGAGTAGTTCAAAAAATGCTCGCAACAAAACTAACACACTTATTCTGTTACACAACTATTTACAATGACTTTCCTGGGAGTATTAAACATAAATGAAATGTATTACACGGTTTACAAAGTTCCCTTTTTCTGTTCTTGTAACATGAACCGCAACGAAATCTACTGGATTATGCAAATTTTGTTAGATTTGAGTCTTTCTTCCGATGCGCTAATGTACTCGTAGCTCCGCCTGTCCTAGACTCCCGTTACAAATTCTGTTATCTTTTTCTGTCGCGCTCTCAGCAATGGATTATGCCGACCTCAGTTATCCTTAGTCCGTGCGCTTGGCTTCAAATTCCAGCCGCACGGTCGCTCCTGTACCGACCAGACGACCGGGGTGTCGCTCGAAAACCGCTATTTCCGCGATGCTGCCCAGGGAATCCTCGTCCACTCTTCTTTCTTCGCTCCCAGCATCTGAATTCCCGTCTAGTCTTCTTTCTTCGT